GGTTAGACCTGGGCTCCCAGGTGGTGGTGTGTGGAGGGCGGACCCAGGCCTACGCTGGGCCCTGGATTCCTGGCAGGGCAGGGAGGTGGTCCTGGGCCAAGCCTGAGCYCCAGCGGGTGTCTTCCAGTGGCGGGGTGAGCTCAGGACTACCCTAGGCCCGAGTTCCCATGCAGGTCAGTGAGGAGGGTCTCATAGCTCTTCATTTCCAAAAAATGTTTTTGTTGGTTTGTATTACAACTTTTATGGGCTTTAATCTTATTTTGTTTAATTTTGTCTCAAATTAATATTTGGTTTTACCAAAATAGTGGATTTATTTTTTAAGTTAAACATAGTGTGAGCTGTTGGACTTTGGAGAGAAGTAGGATTCTTCCTAGGAAGAGGTATTCTCTTTTCTGAGGAAAAATATGCCTCAATGGATAGGTCTTATTTTGACAGTAGTTCTGTCCTGATGCAATCAATGTTCTGCATTGTTTCATGAGATGATCGATCAAATGCATCCATAAGAGGAGGCATAAAAGAGACTCAGGAAACAGTTTATTGTATGCACATGTCTTAGGAGGTCTCCACATGCCATGCAGGAACACAAGAGAAGTAATAGGTTTTAGCCAGTTCGCAGAACATAGGCCACTTCCCATTTCCCCAAGTATTYCCCTCCTACTCTCACCAGCCCTAGGTAATTCTTTTTATGTTAGCTTTAAATCTTTAATCTGGATGGACTTTCTTTTGGTGTAAGGAATGAGGTAGAGACCCATCCTAATTTTCCAGTTGACTGACCAGTCATTTTATCCCCAACTAATTTGTGATGTTTTTCTTTTGTTATACACAATYTTCTCTATGACATTTCCATTGGTGCAAATGGATTTAGATATATTTTAAGGATGAAATATTAGAGAAGGAAGGGAGAAAAACTGATGGTTCTCCTTACTCCTACAAGGTAGAGGTTGATTAGAAGTTTTGTCATAGTATTATAGGCCATTAGAAAATATAGAGCATCTTCTGCTCAAGACACATTAAAGGTTTTATTGAACTCAGACACACACACACACACACACATACACACGCATACACACACATACATGCATACACACACATACACACCTATACACACACATACATACACAATACATGGAGTAAGTTTTGCATATCATTTTAGCATGTATTTATTTCTAACTTATTTAGCATGTTTATTTGTTACTGTTTGTCTTGCTCCATCAGAAGGTAAGCAGGGATATTTATGTTTTTCATGATGTATCTGAAACAGAATAGCATCTGACACACAATAATTACTCAATAAATATTTTACAGTTAATAAATGAATCATTGATATAAATCGGTGAAATCAACATGGTGCTGTTCATCTTTTCCTTTTAATGTATTTAGACAGCATGATACTCCCTGGTTTTTGATCCTTGGTTTACCATATTTCTTATATTAATGGCACTTAGTTCCTAAAATGGGGGAAATCATTCTTCCGTTATTCGGAGATTATTTTCAGGTAACCGTGAATACTCTCAAAAAAGGCAAAATAGGGACTGTGGTTACAGCTCAGTGGTAGAGTGCTTGCCTGGTATGTATGTGGCACTCTGTTCAATCCTCTGTTCAATCCACATAAAAATAAATAAATAAATAAATAAATGTATAAAAATCACAATAGCATTAAATGAAAGGCAAAATACCTTTAGGAAAAAGGCTAGTGTTTTATACACATATTTTGGGTTTAACCCACTTTTGATTTATAAGCAGTTTTTCAGTTTTCCATTAATGTTTTCGGAGTTTAGAATATCTGCTGATAATGACTTTTTTTTTTCTTTTCACCTACAGCACAACTAAGTACAGCAAGTGGTCATTTCTCCCTCGATATTTGTATCTGCAGTTTAGCAAAGCTGCTAATGCATTTTTTTTGTTCATTACCATATTGCAGGTAATATTTTTGTACATGTTATTAAACTAAGATTCTTAAGACATCTAAGAAAATCCTTGTAAAAGTTCATTTAGCTGAAATAAAGGTTTCCATAGACAATAAATTGAAATACTGTAAGAAGAGAATCTCACAATGTTTAAGTCATTCAGTGAGACACTGAAACTCAATTTTTGGGCTGAAAAACACATGGATGCAACTTTCATCGTGTATGCCTCCTTTATAATGGAATAATTTTATCATATTTTGAAAGGAACAATTGAAAGGAAACCAAAACAATAATTTTAAATAGCATCTGTTCAAAAGAGTTAAATTCAAAGTTTTCCATAATCTGGTTCATTCCTGTTTACTTATGAAGCCCACAATCAAAATAATCTCTTCATAATTTTCTGTTTTTTTTTTCTATTTCCAGACTTTGACCCTTAGTGTTAGAGGAGGAGAAATCTGATATTAAGTCTGTAGCCTTTGGGCACAGGACATAGCAAAACACAAAAAACCTGGAAGCATTGGTTGCATTTCAGGAGGAAAATCACTGTATTAGTCAACTTTGCATTACTACAGTGAAGTATCTGAAGCAACTGACTTTAGAAAATAGGCATTATTATTGCTGTGGGTATATACATGACTGCATGACCAATGTAATTCTGCAACCTATACACTCAGAAAAATGAGAAATTATATCCCATCTGATTCAAACGTATGATATGTCAAGATCATTGTACTGTCATGTGTAACTAATAAAAACGAATTTTTTTAAAAAAGAGAAACTGTTTACTTAACTCACAGTTTGGAGGTTCAAAGTTCAAGGTGAGCCCTGTTGGTTTGGCTTCTGCTGAGGGTAATGGATAGCAATGGAGGGAGTGAACATCAGAGAGAGTGGCAACATATCAAACTGGAGCAGAGAGAGAAAGAGAGAGRGGGGGGGGAATGAAGGCGGTCCCATAATACCTTTTAAGGCAAGCTTTAATGATTTAAGGACCTCCCACTTGACATCACCTTTTCAAGCATCTCCCAATTCTGAGGATGAAGCCTTCACCTATGAACATTTAGGTGTCACACATTCAAACCACAGTGATTAGGAACCAAAGAGACAAGGAGAAGAGTAGAATTTTCACTGTGAAGAGTTTTGTTTTGAATTGTAAAACATGTAAATGCATTACCTGTTAAAAATAAATAAAATACAAATTGAAAGTGTTAAATTTTTCCTGAATATTCCAGAATATTCCAGAAAGAATAAAAATTTGATTTTTTGGCACATAGGATTGATGAAGTAGAAAAGACACTAAAGACATTAGCCAAGGCCAAGTTATCAAAAGGTTAAGGGAACAAGACAGGGTGGAGTCTTAGGCAAAATGCCCCACTTGGAGCTGAACCTCAGAAGAGGGAGATTAGAGAAATATTGCAAAGGCAAAATCAACTCAGACCTCAAGCAGTCCAAAGTTTCTTTCTTTTCTTCCTCTATTGCTCAAACTTTACTAGTCAGTTTTTCATCTCTGTGACCAAATTACCTGACAAGAACAACTTAGAMGAGGAGAAGTTTATTTTGAGTTCATGGTTTCAGAGGTTTTAGTCCATGGTCAGCTGACTCTCTTGCTCTGGGTCTGAGGTGAGGTGGAAAATCATGGTGCAAAGACATGGCAGAGGAAAGCTGCTCAGCTCCTGGCAGCCTGGAAGGAAGGAGGGAGAGAGAGACAGAGAAGGAGCGATGGAGAGAGAAAGAGAGACACATACATGGCAGGAACAGACATAGTCCAAGGCCAAACCCTAAGTGACCTACTTCCTCCAGTTATGTTCTCCCTGCCTATAGTTATCACTCAGTAGTCCACTCAGCTACCACTGGATTAATCCAGAAAGTGGATTAGTGCACTGATAAGATCAGAACCCTAATCATTGCCTAAAATCCCTGCTTCTGAACTTTGCTGTATTGGGGATCATGTTTTTAACACATGCATTTTCTGGGGAGCACCCCAGATCCAAACCAAAACAAATTCAGGAGTTCAAAATAGATTCTGTATTGCTAAATGTCAAAGAAATGATAAGCAAGAAAGAAATAATAAGACATAAGAGGGAGTACACATAGACCCAAACCTGGATATACAGGCCTAAGAACTTGTCTAAATCTAGAATGCTAAGGCGTCATACCCAGTACTTTACCTGCATCCTTTGGAAAACCACCACACCCTCAGTTTTCATTGCATCATTTATCATTGTTTAAATAATGGGGGTATCCCTGGAGCACAGACAGCAATTGATTTGTATGTAAGTAGTGTCACTCTTCCACTCCAAAWTTTTTCTCCTCTGCCTCAGAAATAGTGTTCAGTTAAAGTAGCCAAACCATCTGATTCTGTTTTGAAAAATGCTATTTTAAGATAACATTTAGGTTTTGAATTATTTCTTTGGAAACATAGGAGTATCCTATGAAGAAAGTGACATACTGACTGAGATGTTGATCAGTTGCTCTGAAGACTCCATAGGGTAATAGTGTTACACTCAAGGGATGGTTTTGATATGCTATGAATTTTCTTCCTTCCCCTTTTATTTAACATGATGYGTTACTTTTCTGCCATGGTGACAAAAAATACCTGAGAAAATCAACTTAAAGGAAGAAAGATTTATTTTGTATCATGATTTCAGAGGTTTCTGTATAAGTTTGGCTGGATCCCTTGCTTTTGACCTGAGATAAAGCAGAACATCATTGTAGTGGGAGCATGTGGTTGAGAAGGCTGGTCACCTTATGGATGCCATGAAGGAAGGAGGGAGGGAGAGACAAGAGAGAGGAGAGAGGAGAGAGCAGAGAGGGAGGAGAGAAGATGGAAGAGAGAGGAGGAGAGAAAGAAGAGAAAAGAAAAAAGAAAAGGGGAGAGTAGAAGAGAGGAGAGGAGGAGGAGGAGGAGGGGAGGAGGAGGAGGAGGAGGAGGAGGAGGAGGAGGAGGAGGAGGAGGAGGGAGGAGAATAAGAAAGGGGAAGGGGAAGAAGGATCCAAACTATAAAATTTGTCTACTGTATTTATGTCCTGGGTCATGTGACTGGTCAAGATATAGAAAGCATTTATCAAATTAATGTTATTCTGATTGTTTTGCAGCAAATTCCAGGTGTTTCTCCAATAGGACAATATACAACTCTTTTGCCTTTGCTGGTTATTCTTGCAATTTCAGGCATCAAAGAGGTTGTAGAAGATTATGTAAGTTTTCTGTTAGATGATGAAATGCTCTCAAAACTCTGCCCTGACTCTTAAGGTATTCTTTGCTGCTCCAATTCTTTTTTCCTTCTCCTCCTCTTCCCCTCCTCCTCCTCTTCTTCCTCCTCTCCTCTTCCCCTTTATTTCTTCTACCTCATCCTCCTTTTCCTTCTTTCTCCTCTTTCTCTTCTTCTTTCCAGACAGTTGGTTGGAACTGGTGTGATTCTTTGAAATCTACTGTTGGTGTGAAGAGTAAACTAAGATTTTGAGGGTTTAAATTTAAGATAATAAACTTTTTGGTTGTGTCTTTGAGGAACTAATAGCACCTAGGAGTTGTCATGAGAAGAATTATGACAGTATCTTTGGAGATATAATCCCATTGAAGGCAAAAGTCTTAAACAGCTAAAAGAGATGTKTGCATGAATTGTGCAGAGTCTTCATTTCTCCTTTAGCTTTGTCACAGTAGATTGTTTAATATTGTTTTTTTCTGCTTGCCCTTTTACTCTGACTGGTCTCCTTCTTTTACTCTTACAATCCTAATGTTTGTTTCCCCAAATTACTGGCCATTATTATTCACAGGCCTCTGCCTGATTCCTATCCTCCTATGAAGATATGCCATCAGCAAAATCTGTCCTTTGGTTCTTTTGCTTGTTGTTTGATATAAAGAATTGTTCATGCTGAATCAGAAGGCCTAGGTTAAGTTGAGTCGAGAGAGAGAGAGAGAGAGAGAGAGAGAGAGAGAGAGAGAGAGAGAAAGAAACAATCCAGCATTGTAAATTACATATTTAACCCACTATAGTCATTATAAGCTATGTATCAATGTGCCAGCATTCCTAGCAGTACTTACTTTGTACAAGGTACATGGAGGAGTATGTCTGTGTGTTTGTGTTGTGTGTGTATGTGTGTGTGGGGGTACTCACTTGAGGCACATACAGGTTCTGCTGCACCAGCGAGAGGCAGATATGAGTTGTCCACATACTTAACCACTTTGCTATACTCCCTTCCATTAGCCACATCACAGCTTAGGGAATCATGAAAGGGCAAAATGAAATTGAAATCAATTACAGCCAAAGAAGATTTTACAATTAGGTTAGCTGCCTTTATTCTTTCTTAAAACTACTCTGTCTTCTACTATGAGTTGCATTTTTCATTTTGAACTTTACATGTAACAATTTTTTCCCCCATAACAGAAACGGTATATGGCAGACAAAGTAGTTAACTCAAAGACCACTTCAGGTAAGTGTGATTGTTAATTTCATGTGTTAACTTGATTGGATTACAGAATGCTGATGAGGTTAATCTTTAATAAGGTAGAATGAATAAAGAATACTGCTCTCCATAATAAGAGTGGGCTGAAGACCTGAATAAAACCAAAAGGTTGACCATCTCCTGAGTAAGAGGGAATTCTTTCTATCTGATTGACTTTAAAACAGAACATCTGCTTTTACATTGAAACTGAAAAGTTGGTTCTTCCTGGTCTCAAGTCTGCTGGTTTTTAGACTGGAATTACACCAGATACTCTCCTGAATCTCTGGAGACCTTGTTGAGTCACCCTGCTGATCTTGGATCTGTGAATTCTGCTTGTTTCTCTCTCTCTCTCTCTCTCTCTCTCTCTCTCTCTCTCTCTCTCTC